CCTTTCTAAAACCATCGGATCTCATCAGATTCATTCACTATCACAAGAACAGCATGGGAAAACCCACCCCCATCAGCCAATTGCCTCCCACCAGGTCCCTCCCACAACACTTGGGAATTGTGGGAGTTACAATTCAATTTTTTTTTTGGGTGGGAACACAGCCAAACCATATCAACACCCTTTCTCAAAAGCTCCATTTTTTTTTTTCTTTTCTTTCTTGTCCTTTCACCATCTTACTCCAAAGTTGGACATTAACTTTTTTTTTGAAATCCCACAGTCGCAGGCCCTCATGTTAATTTCTTCCCAAATGGCTGAGCTTTTCAAATGTCATTGGAGAAACATGGATTTTAATATATATGAGGGCCGGGCATGGTGGCTCACTCCTGTAATCCCAGCACTTTGGGAGGCCGAGGTGGGTGAATCATTTGAGGTCAGGAGTTCAAGACCAGCCTGGTCAATGTGGTGAAACCTCGTCTCTACTAAAAATACAAAAATTATTTTTTTTTGGTGGCGCGTGCTTGTAATCCCAGCTACTCAGGAGACTGAGGAAGGAGTATTTTTTTTTCCCAGGAGGCGGAAGTTGCAGTGAGCCAAGATCACGCCATTGCACTCCAGCCTTTTTTTTAGAATGAGACTCTGTCTCAAACAAACAAACAAAAAATTAAAAAAAAATGTATTTTTTTTTAAAATAGCCATTTAGAGGACATCATCCTGTGAGGCACATCTGCTAGGGTCCTTTTTTTTTTCAAGGCTACAACAAACTATAATCACACCACTGCACAAAGCACTTCAGGACAGTTTCTGCCCAAGGAGAGACTAGGCAGACAGACTTTCCTCTTTCACTGCTGGCCCCAGGTGCTTGCAGTTCTTCTCTCCAAGGGGAGACCCGGGGGCCATCAGTATGTCCATATGCTGGAGGGGCTGCTGGAAGGATCAAGAACTTCCCTCCAAATGCTCTCTGGCTTGACTATTTGCCTTTTTTTTTAGGTAGAAGGATAGAAATTAGCTCTGGGAGGAGCGGAAACGTTCTGAGGCCATTTTTTTTTGGTGATGACGGGGGCTTGGAGAAGGTGCAGGCAGGGCTATTCCACAGGATCATGCAGCTTGAGCTAAAAACTTTGAAGTCTGCTCTGGAGCATTTTCATCAGTGGGAATGATTTTTTTTGCATGTTAAAAATGTGAGCAATGAATTGAGAGGCAAGGGACCACGTGGAGGGGACACCTCTGTGGAGGTCCAGGAGAGAGGAGATGGTGGCCGGGACCAGGGAGGTGGTCATGGTGATGGAGAGAGCTGGGTAGATTTGAGATACATTGTGGGGACCAGCAGGTTATAGTGATTTTTTTTATGTAGGGAGATTGGAGTAAAAATTATCAACTCAGTAATGGATGTGGCCATGAACTGACTAGAGCACAGTAGAGAAGGGGCAGATGTGGGGGTGAGGGGTGTCTGGTCTATGGCTCAATTAGGATAATGGATAATGAGGGGTGTGCCCTCCTGGAAGTCACCTCTGATAAACTTTTTTTTGTGATCATAAAACAATTTTTTTTTTCAGTTGTATTTGCCAAAGTCACTTTTGGCCTTTGACCTTCAAATAGATAGTAGGATTTTTGTTGTTGTTTTTGAGACAGGGTCTCACTGTATTGCCCAGGCTGGAGTGCAGTGTGCAATCATGGTCACTGCAGCCTCTAACTCCTGGTTTTTTTTAATCCTCCCACCTCAGCTTCCTGAGTAGCTCAGACTACAGATGCGTATCACCTTTTTTTTCACATTAATTTTTTTTTTTTTTTTTTTGGTAGAGCCAGGGTCTTGCTATGTTTTTTTTTTTGGTCTCGAATTCCTAGCCTCAACTGATCTTCCCACCTCGGCCTCCCAGAGTGCTGGGATTACAAGTGTGAGCTACCACATCTGGATGATTCTAGTTATTTGAAATCAGGAATTTTTTTTACCATTCAACGCAGAGTCCTCTTCATTAGTGTCTGGTAAGCAGTTGGATAAGTTTTTTTTTGAGTGTGCATCTGCCTGCGGGTGAATGTTGGGGGAGGATGTGGGACTCTCCTTTTTTTTTGGTTTCTTCTGTGTCACATGAGGGCTTGGGGTATGTGGCTGATGAGTGGGCAATGGTGGTGGCCCTCTTGTTTGGGATGGAGTGGGGACTTACATGGGATGCCTCTATGTCCTTCCGTCTCCTCTCTGTGTGTCCTCTGGCCCCTCACTCCTGGAGCAGATTCCTGAAGGCATCACTGGCCCACAGAGACTGTGACAGCAGCTTTGCTTCCTGCTAACTGGGAAGGTCAGCTTTTTTTTAGGAAGACTCTGCTCTCATGTCTGAGCCCCTCGGCCCCACCACTGCTCCCTTTTTTTTTTCAGCCAGTTCCCATATTCTGGGTCCATGCCCATCATCTCCTTCCCAGTACTGTTTTTTTTACTAGTTAGAAGTTTTTGGGTTGTGATGAATAGACATGTTCTGGATATAGCCTTTTTTTTTGAGGGAGGTTTATGAAAAGGTTCCAGAGGTGGAGAGACCCAGGGGACTGCATTTTTTTTGGAAGAGTGTCCAAGCAGAGACAGGAATACCAGGAACCTTTCCAGAAGTGGTGAGAGGGCGGTGGGGGAGAGGACTGGGCCACAGCTGCATTGGGGACCCCAGCAAGGGTCTTGCCGGCACAGCACCCTCTAGGGGGCACTAGACCATCATGAGACAAACCGGAAATGGGGGGTCAGATAGCCAAGATCTCTATATGGGCCTGGAGTAGGATAGGGGAGTGAGGCACCTTGGTTTTTTTTTTGAAGGAGGTGCCAAAAAACTCAATAATGAAGATAAATCAGCTTTAATGCAAATTTTTTTGTGTGTGCAATGGGGACAGTTGTTTCCAATCAGTCCAAGATTCCTGGGTACCTTGGCCATTTCTTGCCATATGGGTTTATGAGGGTTCACAATGGGATGGGCATAGATTGGGGAGCATGGGGATTTAGATAAAGTCTTGTTGTGATTGTAGAGCTTTTATTAGCCTTTCCGTTTTTTTTAAAATATGGGAGGATATTTTGATAAGTGTGTCTAAGGGCTCACATTTTCCTTTTTTTTTTGGCTCCAACATGAATCCCATATTAGTCATTGGTCTAGACCCTAGATTCCTTACATGACTTGCAAAACATGCATCGAAGCAGACAGCATCTTCAACAAAACCGCATATTTTGGTTTTTTTTAGTGGCTCATGTCTGTAACCCCAGCACTTTGGGAGGCTGAGGCAAGAGGATCCCTTGAGTCCAGGAATTTGAGGCTGCAGTGAGCCATGATTGCACCACTGCACTCCAGCCTGGGCAACAGAGCAAGACCTTGTCTCTACAAAAAAAAAAAATGAAAAAAATTAGCCTGGCATGGTGGTGCACACCTGTCATCCCACCTAGTTGGGAGGCTGAGGTGGAGAGGATTGCTTGAGCCCAGGGGTTTGAGGGTACAGTGAGCTATGGTTGCAGCTCTGCACTCTAGCCTGGGAGAAAAAGTGAGGCTCTGTTTCTAAAAACACTAAGCAGCAGCAGCAGCAGCCACAATGACAACTTTTTTTTCAACAAGAAGAAATGAACAAACCGCAGATCCACCCTACCATTGCCCCTGCCTCTGTTGAGCATTTTTGCCATGCGTAAATAAATGCCTGCTCTTCTGCAGTCAGCAGTCTGATTTTTTTTGGAAACCAAATTACACAGAGGCTAGTGCTCTATGCCGTCAATCTGTAATGTATTTTTTTTTTTGATTTGTATATCCTTTAATACATTTCCTAAGAAGTCTGCTTTGGAAAAATCACCAAAGGAATTAGAAGAGAGAGAATAAGAAAACCCAGAAAAACTAAAAAGATTTTTCTTTTTTTTATTTTTTATTAAAATGCAATCAACCTGCGCAGTGCGAGTGAGTGACTGAGTGACTGTCTACGCTTTCACTAACGGACCATCAGTTTCTCTTAACCTTCTCTCCATAAACGGATTTTTTTTAATGAGGGGGCTAGGGGTGTCAGAAAAGGGTTGGGAGCCTCAGCTCATGTTGGTGGGCCCTCTGTGCCATGGAGCCTTTGGGGACCTCTGATTTCACATCCGTCTTGACCCTAAATGGCCTTCTCAACCTTCCCCCTGTCTCTCCTGGTTCCTGCCTCACCAGACTCAACCTCTTGGTGGGCAGCTCCCCAGAGGGCAGCCCCAGCCTAAGAAGCAGGCCTCTTCCCAAGTCTTTTTTTTCACGAGGATAGTGGGTAACATGGTGGGCTCAGGGGGCCCTGGGAGATCTCCAAAGGCCTCTGGCGTGTTCACCAATGTCCCGTCACAGGTCTTGCTCGGCACAGGGGGTTCTTTTTTTTTGACGTGACAGGGCACTTGAACCGCGGCAAATGAAAGAGACGGAGGGGCAGGATTTTTTTTACCTTGCGAGGAAGACAGGCCTTAGCCTTGTGCCACCCGTATGAGATTCCCTAAGCAGCCCTCTCTCTCCCACGTTTTCCCAATCCTCGCTCCCCGACCCTTCCAGCACAGCTGGCTCCAGGAGGGATCAATTCGTGGGCCCGGGAGGAGGCCAGGCGAGCACCGGCCGCCTGGAGCGCTGGGCTGGAGCTCAGAGAGCGCGGCGGGGGGCGCGGGCGGGGCGGGGCTGGTGAGCAGAGCTGTCCAGCACCCCGAGGCGGGGCGTGCGCCCCCGGCCCGCCCCAGCCGCCTCCGCCCGCCCTGTCAGCGCCACTGCGGCTCGGCGGTCGCGTCACGTGTCTGGCGCAGCGCGTTTTTTTTGCTCCGGGAGCGGGCGAGGGGCCGGGCGGGAGGACGGACAGACCCACGGACGTTTTTTTTGCGGCACCCGGCCGGTGCGGGCTGGGGCGCAGCCGGGGCCCGGGACGCCGGGGCCGGGCGGGCTGCGCGCCGCGGGGCATGGGCGCCGGGGTCCGGCCAGGCGGCCGCGCGGGGCTCGGGCGCGGGGGCAGGGCGGGGGTCTTCCCTGGCGGCCGCCGCTGAGCCCCCGCGGGGCCCGTGACGCCGCGGCCGATGTGGCCCCGCGCGCGCTACGGGCCTGCACCGCCACCGCACAAAGACGCCTCGGGAGCCGCCGCCTGCACCCGGGCCGCAACAGCCGCGCCAGCCGGAGCCCGAGCCCAAACCCGAGCCCGAGCCACAGCCAGAGCCAGAGCAGGAGCCGCAGCCGGAGCCGGAGCCGGATCCGGACCCGGAGCCGGGGGGCAGGAGGCGGCGCCCGCGGGCGACCGGGCCCGGTATGGAGAAGCGCGCGGCCGCGGGGCTGGAGGGCGCGCCGGGCGCCCGGGCGCAGCTGGCCGTCGTCTGTTTGGGTGAGTGGGCCGCGCAGGCCGGGTGGGTCCGGGTCCCCCGCGTGGCAGCTCCGCCCCGCGCCCTGACCGACCCCCTCTCCGGCCGCGGCATCCCGGGGCTCCGCACCGCGGTGGCTCCCGCGCGGAGGCCCAGAGAGCAGCCAGCACCGCTTGCCCGCCTGGCCTCGGGCCTGGGAGGGCGACTCTGGTGGCGCAGCCCCGGCTCGCGCCCCGCTCGGAGTAGTGCCCGGAGCCCGGGCTGAGCGCTGGCAGGCGGCCCTTCGTGCAGGCGGCAGCCTTCACCCGGCCCGCCCGCGCTGAGCCTGGAGTCGAGGGGGCCCCGGGAGCTGGGGACAAAGGCCAGGCCGGCTGTCCCCTGAAGAAGAAGCTGTTTCCGGCCTGGAGTTGGGGTGGGGGCGGGTGTGAGCCGCAGATGGGGACTCGGGGTGCGGGGCAGGGCTGGAGGAGGATGTCAGTGTGGAGGCGGCTTCCAGGGGACTCCTGTTTTCCCTTTGTGTCTTTCAGCCCCTGGGCAGGCCTGTTCAGTTTAGGAGGGTGCTTGGGTTGGGCCAGAGACCGGTCCAGGCCAGGCATGGGGTGGGAGGGGCTCCTGCCCTGTCCGGGAGTTTTTCTGTCCAGCTTTCCAGCGCCCTGTGTGGGCGAGAGGAGAAGGAGTTAAATCCCCAACCCACATGGCTCCTTTATTTACTGTGATGAAGGAGGGAGGCCATTATAAGAACTGGGGGTTATTAGGGGACACCCTATGATGTCACCAGTGAGGGCTCTGTAACCTGACAGGTTTGCGGAAGCCACTGAAATGACAAAGTAATCACCCCCAGGCCTCAGGGAGCTCTGAGGCTCGGGCAGGCCCGTGCCCCAGCTGTGTGAGCCCGGCTCAATGGGAATGTGCCGCTGGGGAGCATGGAGGGTGTAACCTCAGCGCGCCCACCCCAACCTGGATGCAGGGTCATGTGTGTTGGGCTCTGAGCTGCTGGGTGCTGGCATCCGTGGTGAGCAGGGCAGGGGGACAGGCGCTCCATGCGCAGGAGCTTTGGCCTGGCTCTGACCAGGGGGCCTGGGTGTCCTGGGTGGGGACAGCGGTTCCTGCTTCCTGGCCAGGCGGGATCTGACCCGCATCCTGAACCCTGGGAAGCTGGGCTTGCCCCTCGGCTCTGGGCCCGTAACCCCCCCGGCCAGAGCAGAAGGTGAAAGTAAGGGCCAAACCCCATAGAGGTGGGCGCTTGAGGGGTGCCTGGGGAGTTTTGCTTTCCTTCTGAAGGTCAGCGTGGCACAGGGGGGAAGAGGATGGTTCCATCACTAGCTGCGTGCCCTGTAAATGGCGATAAGCAGAACTGCCTTCCCTCCTGCCCCTGCTGCTGCTTTCCCCTTGGAGGGGGAAGCCGGTCAAAGTAGTAGGAGCAGGCCAGGTGCGGTGGCAGGTGCCTGTAATCCCAGCACTTTGGGAGACCAAGGCAGGAGAATCGCTTGAGGCCAGGAGTTTGAGACCAGCCTGAGCAACACAGTGATACCTCATCTCTACAAAAATAAAAAATGAAAAAATAACCAAGCATAGTGGTGCACACCTGTAGTTCCAGCTACTTGGGAGGCTCAGGTGGGAGGATTGCTTGAGCCCAGGAATTTGAAGCTGCAGTGAGCTATGCACTCCAGCCTGGAAAACAGAGCAGGGAAGGCAGGGAGGTGGGGTTGAGGTGGGTAGGGGCCCTCTTGATGGGCGGTCTTGGGCTATGCTCTGGGCCTTGCCCTATAAGAGGAAGGGGACCAGTGGGCCAGCCTTGGGTTTACCTGTGGTGTCCCTCATGGGCTGCTGCTGGTCCCCAGCAGGAACCTGAGACCCCTGACCCTTTCTTTGTGTCTCCCACAGTGAACATCTTTCTCACCGGGAGGCTCAGTAGTGCGGTTCCCGCCTTAGGTAAGTAAGCACTTTGTCTCCTTCCTCCATTCCTCCGGGCCCTTTTGGGTGAGTGGGCCCTGAGGACAGGCCTTCAGGGTCCTGGTTCCACCCCGAGTTCCTGTGTGCATCTTTCCTACATCACAAAGGAGCTGTTTGGCTTTGGGCAGGCTTCAACTTCTCTGAGCCTCAGTTTCCTCATCTGTAAAGTGGGTGAAATAACAAGGTCTACTGAAAACCTGGCTCCTAGTATTCCGTGAGCCAGTGAGGCAAGCTCTTAGTGCAGTGCCTGGCACATGGTGACTTTATACCACTGGCAAGCTGCCGAGGGTCCCGTGGAATTGACATCTTGTGCTTCATGCAGGCTGTGGGCTTCCTAGGATTTAATTTATAGGGGTATGACTGAGGGATGACACAGAGAGGCCCATGCCATGGAAAGAACACTTTATTAATTTTCTTGAGAGGAGGGGACATGCCACGCCATGCAGGGCCACCTGGGAATTACTAGGTTTGGACAAGCAGGAGCAAGGGTGGAAGAAAGGTATAAGTTAGAGCGGGCATCACAGCTTCATGGGAAAGACGCGGCAGCCAGGCGCTGTGGCTCACGCCTGTAATCCCAGCACTTTGGGAGGCGGGCAGAGGTGGGCAGATTGAGTGAGTTTAGGAGTTCGAGACCAGCCTGGCTATCATGGCGAAACTCCACCTCTACTGAAAGGTAGCTATAATCCCATCTACTCGGGAGGCTGAAGCAGGAGAATCGCTTGAACCTGGGAGGCGGAGTTTGCAGTAAACTAGCTGAGATTGCACCACTGTACTCCAGCCTGGGCTACAGAATAAGACTCTGTCTCTAAAAAAAAAGAAAAGGCAGGGCAGAGTAAACAGTTTAGGATTGGCTGGATTGAGTCATTCTGCTGGGCTTGGGCTATGGGGGTGCCCACTGGTTGCCTGGTAGCTGGTCTGGGGGTGCTTCAGGGCAGGGACGATATTGGCTTGGTGTGGGAGGTTAGGTAAGAAGGTGGGTAGAGGGCGTGGCCTTGCATCAGCTGCACGTGAAAAGTGAGTTTCAGGCAGCTGACTTGCAAGACAGAGGTAAACATTTTGGCCAAAGGTACATACAGAATCCGAGAGGACACAGTGAGCACGCTGCCCCCGCCTCTACCTGTTGGCATGGGTCTGTCCAGCCGCTGGCTGTCTTTAAGCTCCAGCCTAGTCCCAAGCACAACAAAGGCCATCAAGAGCTAGAGGGGCGGCCAAGCCCATCCATCCTTCACTACTGGAGGTAAGGGGCTGCTGGTTGGCAAGTGGATAAGCCCAGGCCCCCTGGGGCCCTGAGTGCCACCTGGAGAGTCTGAGGGGGGCCTGAGGGAGCCTGTTCTATCACTGACAAGCCCCCATAGACCTCTGCATCTCTTGCTAATTCCGTCTATATACTGCCATTTCCAACAACCCCTAAAAAGGTATTAAAGTAAGCATAAGTATTTCCATAAAAATGTTAAGTCTGGTTGGGTGTGGTGGCTCACACCTGTAACCCCAGCACTTTGAGAGGCTAAGGCAAGAGAATGCTTGAGCCCTGGAGTTTGAGACCAGCCTGAGCAACATAGTGAGACTCCATCTCTCCAAAAAATTCTGAAAATTAGCTGGGCACGTTGGCATGTGCCTGTAGTCTTAGCTACTCGGGAGACTGAGGCAGGATGACTGCTTGAGCCCAGGAGTTTGAGATTGTAGTGGGCTATGACGGCTCCACTGTACTCCAGCCCGGGTGACAGAGCGAGACCCTGTCTGTAAAACAAAAAGCAAAACCTGAGGTCAAGGTGCAGCCGGGGAGAACAAGGGGGGCCTCTGACTTGTTCGTTGCCTGCTGTTCTGCTCGGTGGGGCAGGAGGGGCCTGGGTTTCTAGTTCTGTGCAGGACCCGGCTTGCTGGAGAAAGGACCTGGAGCTGTCAGGCAGCGGGACCCCTGCTGCTGGCTGTGGTTGAGGGGGAGGCCCAGGGTGCACAGAAGCTGTGCTCACTGGCTCCTCTGGCAGGCTCAGGCCTCTTTCCCTCTCTCTGTGCCCTGAGCTGTGCTCTCACGAGCCCAGCCTCCTCTGCTGCTTCGGGCTGGCCGAGGGCCAGGCCTCGCTCAGTGCTGACCTAGCCCCAGCCCTGTCTGCTGTCCTGGTCCCCACAACTGATGGTGGTCCAGTCTCCCATCCCAATTTCCAGGAAAAGGCTTACTGGCCTGGCCTGGGTCAGATGTCTGTGGCCATGGTAGAGAGTCAGGGGAAGGGGGAATGAGGCTGTCACAGCTTATGAATGTGAGCCCCAGGGCACCCTCCTGCTGGTGGGTGTGTCACCCCAAACGCACATATACCCCACATTTAGAAAAGTGCTTCCCTGAGGACTAGGGCCACTCATGGAGCTTGGGCGAAGAGGACACTGTCCAGGTCCTTAGCTGTCAAGACCTCAGGTCCCAACAGGGTCCTCGTTGCAGCCCCTGGTGCCCTCTGTGATGGGAGCTGCACACCCAGTACGGAAGGCCATGGGTGGTGGTCTGGGATCCTCGCTGTCCTAGAGTCCACTTCTGACACCTCCGGCGTTACTGACCAGCTGCAGGTGGCCCAAGGTACCCCCCTCCCAGCACGGCTCCATGACCCTGCATTTCCACGGCTTTCCCTGGGATTCCTGCTGCGTGGGACCCTGGATTGGGAACCCTTCCCCCAGCCCCTTCTCCACCCTCACTAGGCTCAGGTGCTCCAGAGGATCTGGTAGGGCTGTCTGGGGACCTCACAGGTTTTTTACCCCCCAGCAAACCCCATCCTAAGCGTAGGTGTGTGGGGCCCTGACTGGTCAGAGCACCTCCTGCATCCCCCCGGCCTCTGGGCTCAGCCCTGAAGCTACTGTGGCCCCAGCGGGGAGAGCCTGGGCACGGGCTTCATGCAATTTGCAGGCAGCTGGCAGCTTCCCTGGCACGTCTGGGGTGGGACTCCCAGCTCCCCGTCGTCGGGTTACACCAGGCAGGTTGGCGGGGGTATTGATCAGCTTTGGAAATTGGATCTGCAAATTGTACTTCCTCAGGCCTTGCAGTGTCCTCTCAGGAATATTTGATGACTCTTTGGACCAGGAAAGGACACTGGCCTAAAAGTGCCCGGTCATTCCTTCCCTACCTGTGTGGGCCACCATGGCTCCCAGGGCCCAGGCCATCTTCTGCCTGAGAGAAGGCAGGTCACCTCCAGCTGAAGCTCAGACAGACCTCTCGACTGCCCCCAACACCCCCAAACCCCTCCCTCTTCCCCATTATCCCGCATATCATGCAGTCCTCCCATCTGCTCTCACTGCCTGCCCACTGCTACACAGCCCATCATGAACCTCACCTCCACGGGGCATTCCTGGAGACCCCCTCCTCACTGGCAGTCCCTGACCCCAGTCCCCCACTGCATGCACATCTGCCTCAGGTCAAGCAGGGTCCTTGCCTAGGCTGGGCACGGTGGGGCACACCTGTAGTGTGAGCACTTTGGGAGGCTGAGGTGGGAGGATCACTTGAGCCTGGAAGTTGAGGCTGCAGTAAGCTGCGATCGCACCACTGCACTGCAGCCTGGGAGACAGAGCTAGACCTTGTCTCAGGGAAAAAAAAAAAAAAAGAGTCCCTGCCTAGAACTCGCAGCTCCCTGCACAGAGCCCAGCCTCCCTCTGGCCCCGCATCCCCTCTGCATGAGGCTGGGCTGCTGCTGCACCCACCGTGGTCTCTGCCAACCCACTTTGGAGAAGAGCACACAGTTTAACCAAGTTGCTCTGATGTGGAAATTTCCGGGGAGCCCCCAGGAGTGAGGCTGGTTGGAGGCACCCATTGCCAGGGCTTTGCTGAGAGGCAGAGCGGCTGGCAGTTGTCCCTTCCTCTGCTCCTGATGTGGCTGGTGGCCTCCCAACCCCTGATGAAGGGGCCAGACATAGGTCTACGAGGGAGAAGGGTTCTGGCCTAGGTGAGTGGGAAGAGAGAAAGGTGGCAGGTGACACCTGGCTTTTCCTAGAAAGTGTGGGTGAGACACCTGGCCCCCAAGGGCCCCGAGAAGAGGGACAGGTCTATGTCTATCCCCTAGGGAAGGCCTCCAGGGCTGGGTAGGAATGGACAGTGCCTTGTCCTGCCCCTATGGAGGACAGGGCACCTCATAGGTTTTTACCCCTCGGCAAAAAGGTGAACATGGGAGGTTCCCAGCCGTGCTGACTCAGAGGCTGACACTTTGGCTTAGCATGTGCTTTAGAGATGCAATGTGGGGGACGTTACCACCCCAGCCTCACTGGGCCTTCCCTTTTGTGGAACCTCCTTTTCGGACCCCTCCAGCAGGAAAGATCTCTTCTTTCGGATTTCCTTCTTCTTTTTTTTTTTTTTTTTGGAGAAAAAGTCTTGCTCTGTCACCCAGGCTGGAGTGCAGTGGTATGATCATGGTTCACCGCAATCTCCACCTCCTGGGTTCAAGCGATTCTCCTGCCTCAGCCTCCCGAGTAGCTGTGGATCACAGACGCCCACTACCACGCCTGGCTGATTTTTGTACTTTTAGTAGAGACGGGGTTTTCCCATGTTGGTCAGGCTGATCTCAAACTCCTGACCTCAAATGATCCCCCCGCCTCGGCCTCCGAAAGTGCTGAGACGACAGGCATGAGCCACTGCACCCGGCCTCTTTTGGATTTCTTAACCCTACACCTCCCAAGGAATCCCAGTTCAGACCTCAGGGCTCTGTGAGGTCCTCGTGGCCAGTGGCCTCACCCGGCAGAGGGAACCAGGTTGGGGCTGGGGCCACTTTACATGTTTGGGTGGCTGCACCCCGAGACCCCTCTCTGATAGTTTATCTCCTGCCCTCTCGGGCTGGGAGCAGGGTATACAGCGCCCTATTTCTGGGGCAGGATCGGAGGCTGGTTGTGGGGGCTGCCTCCCAGGGCCATGTGTGAGTTCTAAGTGGAGAGGCGCTGACTTGCACCTCACTGACCCGGGACTGTCAAGGGTCTGATGGTGACGCGGTGGTGGCCGGCCTTGCTTTAGGACCAAGAGTTCTGTTCTTATCCTTGATGTTCTCACGGGCTGTTCATGGGGGTTACCGACTCCCTAGTAGTCACAGTCCCGGATCACCTGGGCCTTCATGGTCCCAGTAGGCCCCTGGGGGAAGGGGCTTCAGTTCTCAGCTCATGGCTGCAGCTGCCCAGCAGGTCCTCAGATGGACCCGTCCACTCAGGGACCCACATCTGTGGAGCACCTGCCGTGCGTCAGGCACTGCGCAGACTCCCAGAACACGGCACGGCCCTGCCTGCCTGTGTGATGTTCATCCGGTCAGTCCCAATAACAAAAGGGAAATGCTCTGTGGCCGAGGCTGGGGGGAGGGGTGGAGGGCTGGAGCTCTGCGGGAGGCAGCCTGGAGGGCTTCCCTGGGAAGGGACCATGGAGCTGGGGGTGGAAGCTGAGGAGTCCGTGAAAGGCATAAGAAGGTGGGGATAGCACCCACTAGGGACCACCAGGGTCTCCAGAGCAAGGTCACCTCCAATGTGAGAGATCCGAGAGGTCCGGGGGGCTAGGGGTGATGGGAGGGATAAGGCAGAGTGTGGGGCAGGGAGGGGCTGGGGCTGCTGCAGTGAATTGTGGTTTTGTGCTAAGAGCATGGGAGGCAGCCAGGGGGCTCTCCTCCCCGTCCTGCAGCTGGGTCCCAGAGAGTCTTGCTGAGAACCAGTGAGAACTCGGCTTGCAAGGTCACGGTGCCAGGGGCCAGCCATGGGAAAGTGAAGAGAGAGTGTCACTGGGCTCGGGAAAAGCGTCATCCCTTGCTTCTCCGAGCCTCAGTTTCTCCCTCTGTAAAATGGGCCCTGCCTTCATCTCAGGCTGTTGTGAGAATCAGATGGACCAGCGTGGGGAAGGGTCAGGGGGCTGTGGGGTTAGGAGTTCGGTCAATTGCAGGGACCAGCCACCCGGTCCTGGGAGGGCCAGGGCACAGCGGGGCAGGGCAGGCTCACCATGCTGCCCTGGATGGTTTAGAAGCAGACAGCATGGAGAATGGATGGATTAAAGCGAGGCCCGTGGGGCTGGGCATGGAGGGCTCCTCCTTTGAGCTGGCGGGCGTGATGCTCTTTGCTCAACCTGAGCGGTATACAGTTGGCACTCCACGAATGCATGTTGGCTCAGTGCTATAGTGAGAAGCTGAGGCCCCCAGAGGACTACAGTGATTCCTGACTCTGCCCTCCCTAGCTGTGTGGCCCCGGGCAAGTCACTGACCCTCTGTGAGCCTGTTTCCTCACCTGGTTCCGAAATCTACCTTTGGTGGCTTCTCACTTGTACTCAGGATAAAACCCAAATTCTGCACAAGGTGTGATCAGACCCAGGTGGTGTTTCCAGCCACAGCTGGACTTTGCCATCTCTGTTCAGGCCTGTTGTAGGATCTTCATTCTACCCAGTGGATCTGTGTAAAGTCCATCTGCTCCCACCCCCAGCCTGTGAGTTCCATAGAGCAGGCCTTAGTCCCGCCTTACTCAGCGTGCCTACCATGCATGCTTGGCACATAGTAGGTGCTCAGTAAATACATGTTGAGTGAGCAAAGCCCCAGGAAGGGCAGGCAGGGGGCTCTCGCAGGATGGGCTATGCCGGCCGGGCAGGCCTATGGCTGTGGAATTCTCCACTGAGCCGAGGCCACGAGGCTACACCTTGGAGGTGCCGGCTGCCAGGAGGGGTTGTTGGTGGGTTTCCTCCCAGCTCTGCCAGAGGTGCGGGGGACAGGACCTACGCTGTAGCCCACTGCCTAGGGTTGGGGACTATAGCTGCCCCAAGTCTAGGGGGCCCTACTTGGCCTCCCGTACACACCACCTCCATGAAGTGACAAGTCGTGGCCTTGCCCTTGGCCATGGCCACCCTTGGCTGGGCTAGATCCCACCATGGGGGAGGGCTGGGCTGAAGCCCCTACCCCCCACTGCAACCCGCTTCCCAACCAAAGATGAGCCGGCCTTTCTCGGCCTCCTCTCCTGACAGCAGCCTGCAGCGGGAAGCTGGAGCAGCACACGGAGCGGCGTGGGGTCATCTACAGCCCGGCCTGGCCCCTCAACTACCCGCCAGGCACCAACTGCAGCTGGTACATCCAGGGCGACCGTGGTGACATGATTACCATCAGGTAGGGGCGCCCGGGGGTGTCGGAAGGAATCGACGTGGACCCACACGCGTGGGGTGAGTGAGAATGTGTGTGTGTGAGAGCAGGTGTGGAGGGCACACGCCTGAGGGTGTACGTCTGTGTGAGCAGGTGTGGGATCATGTGCATGTGTGTGAGCATATGTGTGAGGTGTGTGTGAGCGCTCATGTGTGAGCAGGTGTGAACAGGTGTGTGGGTGTTTGCATGTGTGTGAGCATTTATGAGTAAGTGCGTGTGCATGTAGATGTGTGCCTGTGTGAGACAGGCATGTGTAGGTATTTGAGGTGTGTGTCATGTGCATGCATGTGAGCACATGTAAGTGTGTGTGCATATGTGAGTGCGTGTCTGTGCATGTATGTGAACACAAATGTACTTGTGTACGTGTACAAGCCCATGTCGGGGACACATAAAGGACATGTGAGAGAGTGCACGTGTGAGCACATGTATGCGCACGAGCCATGCCTGCACAGGTGCAGAGAGCGTGTATGTGTGCATGCATGTAAGATAACGGGTGTAACCATGCGTGAGCCATAAGCATGCATGTGTACATGTGAATGCATGCACACAAATGTGTCTAGTGCCCTGGGTCTCCACAGGCCTCTGTGGCGAGGTGCCCAAGCTGGACCTTTTCCTGGTTTGAGCCTCGTTCATGGGGTATGGGGGGTCTCAGTCACTCAGCCCTGCCAGGAAGGCAGGGCCAGCACACATGCCACTGGGAACACAGCCTGGGACTGGTGGGCATGGTCTGATGTCTCTGAGGTGGCAGAGGTGTCTTCTCTGTCCTGCAGGGGTGGCTGGGGGCCAGGCTGGCACTGAGCCCAGAGCATGGTTTCCACAGGGGGCCTTGGGGAGGGGAGTGAATCAGGCAAAGCCCGGGTGCTTGAGCTGCAGGGACATGCAGAGGGAAAGGGGGCCAGGCAGCGAGTGGTGGTCCTGGCCAGGAGTGGTCATGGGGACATTTGGCTGGGGAGTCACTATAGGTTCCATCTGCCATAGTTTTCCTAAACGCCAGAGCCCAAAAGGTGCAACCCCCGACTTACTCCATAGCTGCAATGCATGAGGATGTGATGGGCATGGGCAGGGTCTGTCCTAGTCTCTGTGCCTCAGTTTCCCCAAGGGCCAGGTGGTTCAGGGCCAGTGTGTCTCTGGAGATGACAAGCTGTCAACCTGCTGCAGCCTCGGCCAGCCTCATGGGCACAGTCTCACCCTCACTGCCCATGCCTGGGACTTTGTGCTGGGCCCATCCTAGTGGTCCCGAGGTGGAGGGGTCTGGGCCCTTGGGCCTCTGTCCTTTTGGGGAGGGTGTCGGGGTGGGGGGCTCTTGACTTCCTGCTGCACTTTGGCTTCAGGCTGGGGGTGTCATGTGCACTGATGGAGGGAAGGGTAGCCGCAGCAGAGCTGGAAATGACCTGTATGGACATCGCAATTCTTCATGGAGCCTCCCATGCACACCTGGATGGGGACAGTGTGGGGACAGAGTGGCTGGGAGTGGAGGAACCAGGCAATCTGGAACACGAGGAGTGGGGGCGGCCGGCTGGGACGGGGCTGGCTGTCCTGGCCGTGGCTCCAGCCTGACCACTCTCTGCTAGTCCTCAGCCATGGAGGTCCTGCCTACGGCCTCATGTCTGGGTCCTCTCCGCCTCCCCGCAGCTTCCGCAACTTTGATGTGGAGGAGTCCCACCAGTGCTCCCTGGACTGGCTCCTGCTGGGCCCAGCGGCCCCGCCCCGCCAGGAGGCCTTCCGCCTCTGTGGCTCTGCCATCCCGCCTGCCTTCATCTCTGCCCGTGACCACGTCTGGATTTTCTTCCACTCAGACGCCTCCAGCTCCGGCCAGGCCCAGGGCTTCCGTCTGTCTTACATCCGAGGTGATAGCAGTCGCAGAGCAGGCAGGACACCACAGAGCACACCGTGCATGCCAAAAGGCTCCCGGCCCACAGGGGCAGCACCCTCCACAGGGCTCCGGCTCCCTGCAGGATGTCCCCTGACCACCCTGTCAATCTCAGGACAGTGGCAGGACTGGGCATGTGGATGCCTCAGACCTCTCAAGGTCACTGGCCCCACTTCCCGGTCATGGCTAGTTGTGGGAACTCACCCCTAACCCCAGACTCAGGTCAGGGACTGAGCCCACCCTGGTGTTGGAGGGGTCTCTGCTTCCACGGTGATGGGGAACCACCTGCCCACTTTTGGCCCCAGGCCCCCTGGCCAAAGGGAGGCTCTTCTGTCTCCTGACTGTCCCCTGCTACCTCTCCACCCCACAGGGAAGCTGGGCCAGGCGTCCTGCCAGGCAGATGAGTTCCGCTGTGACAATGGCAAGTGCCTGCCCGGCCCGTGGCAGTGCAACGCAGTGGATGAGTGTGGAGACGGCTCTGATGAGGGCAACTGCTCCGCGCCCGCCTCGGAGCCTCCAGGCAGCCTGTGTCCCGGGGGGACCTTTCCGTGCAGCGGGGCGCGCTCCACGCGCTGCCTGCCTGTGGAGCGGCGCTGTGACGGCTTGCAGGACTGCGGCGATGGCTCGGATGAGGCGGGCTGCCCCGACTTGGCGTGCGGCAGGCGGCTGGGCAGCTTCTACGGCTCCTTTGCCTCCCCAGACCTGTTCGGCGCGGCCCGTGGGCCCTCGGACCTTCACTGCACATGGCTGGTGGACACGCAGGATTCGCGGCGGGTGCTGCTGCAGCTGGAACTGCGGCTGGGCTACGACGACTACGTGCAGGTATACGAGGGCCTGGGTGAGCGCGGGGACCGCCTGCTGCAGACGCTGTCCTACCGCAGCAACCACCGGCCGGTGAGCCTGGAGGCCGCCCAGGGCCGCCTCACCGTGGCGTACCATGCGCGCGCCCGCAGCGCCGGCCACGGCTTCAACGCCACCTATCAGGTGAAGGGCTATTGCCTTCCCTGGGAGCAGCCGTGCGGGAGCAGCAGTGACAGTGATGGGGGCAGCGCGGGCGACCAGGGCTGCTTCTCGGAACCACAGCGCTGCGACGGCTGGTGGCATTGCGCCAGCGGCCGAGACGAGCAGGGTTGCCCTGCCTGCCCGCCCGATCAGTACCCCTGCGAGGGTGGCAGTGGTCTGTGCTACACGCCTGCCGACCGTTGCAACAACCAGAAAAGCTGCCCCGACGGCGCAGACGAGAAGAACTGCTTCTCCTGCCAGCCCGGCACCTTCCACTGCGGTACTAACCTGTGCATCTTCGAGACGTGGCGCTGTGACGGCCAGGAAGACTGCCAGGACGGCAGCGATGAGCACGGGTGCCTGGCCGCCGTGCCCCGCAAGGTCATCACCGCTGCGCTCATCGGCAGCCTGGTGTGCGGCCTGCTGCTGGTCATCGCGCTGGGCTGCGCCTTCAAGCTCTACTCACTGCGCACGCAGGAGTACAGGTGGGCGCTGTGCCCACAGCCAGGGGACCGGGCTTCTTCATCGCCCAGGCTTGCTGTCCCCGTGGCTGTGGGTTTGCAGATGGGGGCCTGGACCAGCTACGTGGAGGCTGCCCTGTGCACACTGGGGTCCCTACATTTTGGGATGTCTGGGTGGAGGGTGGACCCGGAATCCTGTTGCTGCTGCAGGTCCCGGGCAGCCCAGCCATGTCGCCCTCTGCCCACCGCTTCCAGGGCCTTCGAGACCCAGATGACGCGCCTGGAGGCTGAGTTCGTGCGGCGGGAGGCACCTCCATCCTATGGTCAGCTCATCGCGCAGGGCCTCATTCCACCCGTGGAGGACTTTCCTGTCTACAGTGCCTCCCAGGTGAGCCCCTGGAGGGCGCGAGGCCCCTCTGGGGCCAGGTGGGACAGTGTGCGGAGGAGGCTGGTCCAGCGGTCACAGGAGTGGGAGGCAAGGCCTGGGCAGGGTGACCTGGGGGCCCATGGCCAGGTGGGAGGATGGACAAGGTGGTCTCTTGGGTCTCAGGTCCCTTGGGGGTGTGCTGACTCCTGCCCCTGAGCAGCCTGGCCGCCCCCTCAGCCGCATCTCCCTGCCCCCACCCCGCCCCACCCCGCCCCACCCCACAGGCCTCTGTGCTGCAGAATCTTCGCACAGCCATGCGGAGACAGATGCGTCGGCACGCTTCCCGTCGGGGGCCCTCCCGCCGCCGCCTTGGCCGCCTCTGGAACCGGCTCTTTCACCGGCCGCGGGTGCCTCGAGGCCAGATCCCACTGCTGACCGCAGCACGCCCCTCACAGACCGTGCTGGGTGATGGGTTCCTCCAGCCTGCTCCAGGGGCTGCCCCCGACCCCCCAGCACCGCTCACGGACACAGGCAGCCCCAGGGTGGCCGGAGATGGGCCCCCCAGTGCCCCCAGCCATGCACCAGAGGTGGGACCTTCAGGGCCACCCTTGCCATCAGGCCTGCGAGACCCACAGTGCAGGCCTGTGGACAAGGACAGAAAGGTCTGCAGGGAGCCACTGGCAGACGGTCCAGCTCCTGCGGATGCACCTCGGGAGCCCTGCTCAGCCCAGGACCCGCACCCCCAGGCCTCCACTGCCAGCAGCACCCTGGGCCCCCACTCGCCAGAGCCACTGGGGGTCTGCAGGAGCCCCCCGCCCCCTTGCTCCCCAATGCTGGAGGCCAGCGATGACGAGGCCCTGTTGGTCTGTTGACCGCCGGGTTCGCTGGTGACCGCCACAGCCCCGCTTTGTAACCAGGGAATACACAGTCATTTCTACCCTGCCTCTGCGTCCTTTCTTATGGAGAGGCCCTCCGGGGACCCCAGCGGAGGGGCTGGGCCCTCAGCCAGCTGGCTGCACTGGTGGGCACACGGTGGGCGGGAGCTCTGGGACTGAACAGAGGGGGAGAAGGGTGGAGCGGTGAGCCCGTCTGTAGGATCCCAGCGTACACAAGCACCCTGGGGTCTCACTTCTCTCCCCCCACTTCATTCTGGGAACCAATTTCCAAAGCAGAGGACCAGAGCTTTTTTGCTTCATCTGCCCTGCAGTGGCACCAGCTGCCCATAGAGCTGGGAGTTGTCATGAGGATGGGGCTGGGCCATGGGGACGCTGGGTCTCATCCGTGGTGACTGTTCTGCCCATGCCTCACCCTCTTCCTGTTCAGCAAGGCCCCTGGAGGACCTGGGTTGGGCAGCTCCTGCCAAGCCTTCAGGCCCCTGACCAGGCAGGTGCCCTTTGTCTTCCTTGAGGGTCCAATCTCCTGGGCACTGTGGCGGGGCTGGGGTGGATACCTGGCATACAGGAAGCCCCTGGAGTTCCCTGCAGGCCTCAAAGCCCCCAGGACATGCTGCTCTGTGCTTTCTGGGGACAGAGAAGCTGAGACACCAACAGCAGTGGCCACATCTGTTCCATCCTAGCTCAGGGCCTCAGTTTCCCCACCTGTAAGCCAGGGTGAGACTGTGGGCTCTGAAGTCCTGACCTTCACTCTGTGGTGGTTTATGAGAAGAAAGACGATCCCAGCTGGGAGCCCCTGAGCTCTCCTGGGTGGCCAAGCTCAGACTGGCACCGAGGGGCCTGGGGGAGGGGCGGACTGAGCTGCTCCTCTCGACGTCCTTTTAGGGCAGGGGGACTCTGGGTGCCATGGTAGGGAGTGCCTGTGTCAAGCAGCAAAGCCCCCTAATGTTGAGAGTCTCCTCCAGGGCCTGTCACAGCGTCTTCCCGGCCAGCAACATGTGTGCACCCACCGAGGTACGCCCCGACCACTCCCATCTGTGCCCATCATGGACTCCCCATAGCACGAGCGAACAGCCAGCCCTGTTTATTTATAGGCTTTTTCAGGAAAAGCTAGCAGGGCAGCGCTAAGACAGGAAACCCAGTCCACATTTCAGGGTTTCCTTAAAAACAGGCTTCTAAGAGTCGTATCTTTTTTTTTTTTTTTTGCCCCAGAAAACAACAACAAAAACAAAAACTTTTTTGCCAAAACGCCTCCTCAATAAACAACATGTAAACAGAAACAGCTGCTTCAGTCTCTACAAACATCTCATTGTGGCTTCAAGGGCTTGTCTGTGGCAGCCAGCAGGGAGGGTGGGCAGGGGCTATTCTCCTCCTCTTCAGGGGCATCCTGGGGGTAGACCACGAAACACAGCTCCTGGCCCCAGCGTGTCATGGACTCTGAGGACAGACAGATGGACCTTGGAGTCTGACCTCTCGGGATAGGGGTGACCCCCAGCTCCGGACACCTCCCCTCGGGCAGGGGTCTTCAGGGAGCTGCTCCGTCGGTACGCATGGTTCTGGAAACTTTGGGTATATCTTGGGAAGAGACATGTGGCGGCAGCTGGGCCCTGTGTTCCCACCTCCGCTGCTAGGACACCCTGCTCTGGGGTGAGCCTCTAAGAAGGAGGTCCCGTTTCCAGGCCCCGGCCCTCTGTGCCGGGTGACCTGCGGCTGCCCGGCTCACCTGTTAGTCTGTGCACACACTTTGGTTTGCTTCTCCAGTACACTCCCAGAAAGAAAATGGGCACCCCCGTAAGAATGATGATGATGCCGACCCCACAGACCATAGGCTCGGAGATGAAGCTGAAGACCAGCAGGAAGGCCCAGAAGACCAAGTATGCCACGGGGATGAGAAGGTTCACCTGGGGAAGGGGGAGCAGAAACACCGATGGTGCAGGACCCCCAGCTGTCTGTACCCCTGACCCGTGAGGGTCTGGGGCGTTTTCCTCCCTTCCCTGGGAGCTGAGGCCTGAACGGCAATTGCACCCACCTACCCCTCCTCTTGGCGACAGCCCAGTGTGTTTGAGGCCAATTCATGCGTCAGGCTGTTGGCCAGTTTTGCTGAGGATTTTTCAAAGTCTCAGCGGCACCGAGTTCCACACAGCAGTTGTGTGTGGACTTGACGCTTGCACTTGGCCGGAGGTCGGTGATTTTTTGGTGTTTCACATTTCAGGCACCGAGCACTTCTCCATATAAGGATTTATACATACATTGGGGGGCTTTGCTTTTAGCTCAGGCTATGGTCTTCTGTTTTTCTGTGGGCCCATGGAATCCTGGCAGCCTTTGTGACCTTGAACAGTTCCCGTCTCATTTTCTTTAATTTTTATTTATTTATGTTTTTAGAGACAGGGTCTCCCTCTGTCATCCAGGTTGGAGTGCAGTGGCCCTAGGACCGCTCACTGCAGCCTCGACCTCCCGGGCTCAAGCAATCCTCCCACTTGAGCCTCCCAAGTAGCTGGGACCACAGGTGCACACCACCACACCAGGCTAATCCTTTTATTTTTAATTTTTTGCAGAGCGGAAGTCTCGCTATGTTGCCCAGGCTGGTCTGAAACTCCTGGGCTCCAGCAATCCTCCCACCTCGGCCTCCCAAAGTGCTGGGATAGGCATGAGCCCCTGCACCCAGTCCTGAGCCTCATTTTCCCCATCTGTACACTGGGAGCATTCACAGCTCTGTCCTCATGGGGCTGCTATGAGGAGTGGATGCCTCAGTGCACAGAGAGCCCTGAGCAGGGCCGAACACTCCACAAAAGCTGGCACCTCACATCCCACCTGCCTCTGGTGCCCACTGTGGATACAGGGGTGGCTCTGGCAGCACCCAGCGCGGGGGCCAGCCGTCCCAGGGCCTCACCTTGATGGGCCTGTGGAGCGCAGGCCGCCTCCAGCGCAGCAGCAGCAGGCCCAGGATGGTGATGCCGTAGCAGAGGTAGTTGATGAAGGACACGTAGTTGATGAGCGTGTACGTGTCGCCCACGAGCATGATGATGGCTGTGGCCCCGCACTGGGAGAGGACCTGGGACTGACGGCCGGCCCCTAGCCTGCCTCCTGTCACCCCTACAGGATGAGCCCTGGCCCCACCCCACACCCCCACCCCGGAATGGCTCACCCCTGCCATTACCCGCAAGGTCCTGCATTGCCGGGTAGCCCTGCCTCCACACCCTGCCTGGCCCAGGTCCCCCAACTTACACAGACGAGGAGGGCGGGGATGGGGGTGCAGTGTCTGACGTGGATCATGGCCAGCAGGCTGGGCAGGTGCCCCTCTCGGGCTCCAGAGAAGCATAGCCTAGTGTTGGGACAGAGATGGGCACCGGCCACTTCCTGGGTCTCAGCACTGGACCTGATGTCCCTCTTAAGCTGTCGCCTCTGACCTCCCACTCTGGGCCCAGCAGCCCCACTGGGCAGTTCTTCACCTTCTTCAACCTGCCTCCCTCTTGTTTTCTTTGCCTTTCAGTTGTGATCAGACACTTGTTACTGGTGGGATCATCACCCCAGCTTCAGGCGGATCCCTGCCCCTGACAGGTTTCCCTTCCTCTGGCCCCCGCCGCATGACTTGCGCACACCTGTGTCCAACCTTCCCTCCCCATGCCCACGTCTCCCCAGTGTAGTCACCTGGAGTAGGTGAACAGGTAGCCATTGATGCCTCCGAAGGTTGACAGAGCCACGGAGATGGGCATGGCCCAAGAAAAGTAGCCCAGCAGCTTCTCCCCGAAGGTCTGGGTGGGCACAGGAGAGAGGCTGTGTGTGAGGCCGGGGCAGGGGCCTGGGCAGGAGCCAGGGACCGAGCAAGGGCCCACTCACCACAGCCACCGCATTGGAGGAGAGCAGCTCCTGGGGGGACATGGCTGTGAAGTAGGCGATGTTGGTGAAGGTGTACACGAAGGTCACCAGTGGGATGGAGATGAAGATGGCGCGAGGTAGGTTCCTGGGGACAGGCAGTGGAGTGTGTCAGCGTCACCTCCTGAGGGTGCAGGACCCCGGAGACTCAGCCACGGGAGAGGCTCAGAGTCTCCATCTCTTGTGTCTGCTGGGGGTGTTGGGGCAGGAAAGGGGGCAGCAGTGCTGCACCAGACAAGGGGACCCTGCTGTCTGCCCTGCCCCATCCCCACCTGGACACAGGCTGGTAGGATGGGAGATGGGGAAGGGGCCCCATCACATCCTGAGGACACGGTCTGATGTCTGTGCAGAAAGACAAAATTGCATACAGCCAAAATCAGCCTGGAAAATTCCCCAAAATGGCCCCAGAGCCCAGTCCATAGACCCAGAGTCTTCCTGGAACTCTCCAGTCCCAGCTCGTTTCAGCTGCAAAGGTTCACTGTCGAGATCCCTGGCTGAGCATCAGACGCAGTCATTGGCTTCATTCGTAGGGACCATATTGTGTGCATACGCATAATTTTAGGCCAAATGCAAATCTCTGGATCTATTTACAGCAGGATGATGATATGCAGCCTTTCTGAGGCCCTGCAAGGGGCTGTGATGTGTCCATAGCCAGAGAAAACAGGGCCAGGCTAGAATGCAAGCCCCCCGGCTATCTTTCCAGGGCCATTTTTGCAGGGCAACAGGCCTGGGCCACCAAGGACCAGCCTGAGCCTCGGGTGGCAGTGGAGCTGAGCGGAGAGGCTGCCTCTCCCACCAGAGGGCCTGGCTGCTTCCCAGGGCCTGGTTGGGGGCCCCACTCACTTTCGGGCATCAACCATCTCCTCAGTGACATAGTTGAGGAAGTTCCAGCCACTGAAGGCGAAGGAGCCTTGGAGGAAGGCCAGGGCCAGGTGTCCCACGGAGGGCGTCATCCAGAAAGCAAAAGCATTGCTGGGCCTCAGCTCCTCGAAGTGTCCTGGGGGCCCAGAAGTCGGGGGTCAGCACTATCTCCCCATCCCGGCCCTCACCCCCACTCGGCCCTACCTTGGAAGATCTGGAGAAGGCCCATGCCGATGATGAGCGACAAGGCCAGCAGCTTCCCGCCTGTGAACATGTCCTGGATGCGCGTGGCCCAGCGCACGCTGGAGCTGTTCA